ATTTAGCGCATGTAATGCTAGAGTAAAAGTCAATTCCCTCGTGCAGACACTCAACGTCCACATTGGTCTTAGTATTGGTCGAGAGAACTCTCTTCGCCCTCTCGCAAGTTGTCCTCAGACTCCGTAGGGCCCGCGGGTTTTCGGAAAGGTCCTTGTTCTACTTGCGCTTGAACTCTTTTGCAAAGTGAGCAACAATGCGGTTGTCGAAATCCTCCCTGCCAAGGTGGGTGTCGCCAGCGGTGGCCCTCACCTTGAAGGTACCCTTTGATATTGTCAGGATGGAGTCGTCACAGGTGCCACCGCCTATGTCGAAGACCACCACATTCTTCTTCTCTCCTTTGTAGTTGAGGCCATAGGCAATGGCGGCAGCAGTGGGCTCATTGATGATGCGGATGACATTGAGGCCGGCAATGGCACCGGCATCCTTGGTGGCCTGTCTTTGAGAGTTGCTAAAGTAGGCCGAGACGGTATGACGGCATCCCGGACAAGGGTGGGGCCAGATAGGAGTCGGCAATGACGGCCATCTTGGTGAGGACCATGGAAGATATCACCTCAGGGGGAACTGCTTCTCCTCGCCGTTGTGGGAGACCACAATCATGGGCTTGTCCGTGGCGTCCGGGACAACCTTGAAAGGCCACAGCTTTATGTCAGCTTGCACAGAGGCGCGCTGTATCGTCTCCCGATCAACCGCTTGGCATCTGCATATCGCCCAACACGGTTAGAGGCAGAGTAGGGTTGTTTCTTAATATGAACTAATTAATACCAATATCAACACCTCACATATACTGTGCAACTGAAATTCAATACAACACTAGAAAATTTAAGAAAGGAATTCAATATAACACTACGAAAATAAAACAGAAGAAAAATTGGGGAAAAAAGCTGCTCACCAAAGACTGTGTTTGCGGGGTTCATGCCGGCCTGGTTAATGGCGGCTTCGCCTATGAAACGCTCGCCGTCGGCGAAAGCGAAATAGGAGGGCGTCGTGCGATTAACTTGATCATTGGCTATGATCTCGACGCGGTCGTGGTGCCACACGCCCACGCATGAGTAAGTGGTTCAATCCCGATTGCAGGCTCCTCGCCTTTTGCAGCCATTACTGAAAGAACAAAGTGAGGGAAAACTTGAATAAATAACCAAAATCAAACTTATAAGTTGATTAATCAGCTCTCGCTCGGATTCAGTATGAACTGCGCGAGCAGGTTGTTGTCTGTTGACCTTGCTCGCTCGCCCTCGTTGACCGGGAGTCTCATAGATGACTGGTTATCTACATTTGTGTACAATGTTCGCTCTTTCTGGGTGGGGACAGTCGTGTTCCGCGGGACCACGACATACATGGCCTCCCCGACAGTGTGTACTCCTAGTGAGAGAGGGGTCACATCGAGGAGTACGAGGTCTCGCACCTTGTCGTCCCCTATGCCACGTAGGACGGCTGTATGCACGGCGGTACCGTACGCAATAGCCTCATCCGGGTTAATGCTCCTTCACAGCTCCTTTCCCTCGAAAATAAACTGCAGCATCTTCTGAACCTTTGGAATCCTGCTCGAGCCTCCAACCAGAACGACATCATGGATGGCAGCCTTCTCCACCCCAGCATCTCTCAGGCAGCTCTCTACAGGCTCGGCGCATTTTTCGAACAGGTCCATGTTGAGATCCTCGAATTTAGCGCGGGTAATGCTAGAGTGAAAGTCAATTCCCTCGTGCAGACACTCAACGTCCACATTGGTCTTAGTATTGGTCGAGAGAACCCTCTTCGCCCTCTCGCAAGCTGTCCTCAGCCTCCGTAGGGCCCGCAGGTTTTCAGAAAGGTCCTTGTTGTTCTTGCGCTTAAACTCTTTGGCAAAGTGAGCAACAATGCGGTTGTCGAAATCCTCCCCGCCAAGGTGGGTGTCGCCAGCGGTGGCCCTCACCTCGAAGGTACCCTTTGATATTGTCAGGATGGAGACGTCACAGGTGCCACCACCTAAGTCGAAGACCAACACATTCTTCTTCTCTCCTTTATAGTTGAGGCCATAGGCAATGGCGGCAGCAGTGGGTCATTGATGATGCGGATGACATTGAGGCCGTCAATGGCACCGACATCCTTGGTGGTCTGTCTTTGAGAGTTGCTAAAGTAGGCCGGGACGGTGATGACGGCATCCCGGACAAGGGTGGGGCCAGATAGGAGTCGGCAATGGCAGCCATCTTGGTGAGGACCATGGAAGATATCTCCTCAGAGGGGAACTGCTTCTCCTCGCCATTGTGGGAGACCACAATCATGGGCTTGTCCGTGGGGTCCGGGACAACCTTGAAAGGCCACATCTTTATGTCAGCCTGCACAGAGGCGTCGCTGTATCGTCTCCCGATCAACCGCTTGGCATCTGCATATCGCCCAACACGGTTAGAGGCAGAGTAGGGTTGTTTCTTAATATGAACTAATTAATACCAATATCAACACCTCACATATACTGTGCAACTGAAATTCAATACAACACTAGGAAATTTAAGAAAGGAATTCAATATAACACTACGAAAATAAAACAGAAGAAAAATTAAGGAAAAAAGCTGCTCACCAAAGACCGTGTTTGCGGGGTTCATGCCAGCCTGGTTAATGGCGGCTTCGCCTATGAAACGCTCGCCGTTGGCGAAAGCGACATAAGAGGGCGTCGTGCGATTACCTTGATCATTGGCTATGATCTCGACGCGGTCGTGGTGCCACACGCCCACGCATGAGTAAGTGGTCCCCAAATCAATCCCGATTGCAGGCTCCTGGCCTTTTGCAGCCATTACTGAAAGAACAAAGTGAGGGAAAACTAGAATAAATAACCAAAATGAAACTGGTAAGTTGATTAATCAGCTCTCGCTCGGATTCAGAATAAACAGCGCGAGCAGGTTGTTGTCTGTTGACCTCGCCCGCTCGCCCTCGTAGACCGGGAGTCTCATAGATGTCTGGTTATCTACAT